TAAACTGGAAGCAGTCTTGCAATGGCCGTTACCCAAAGGCCTTAAAGCTACACAATGCTTTATAGGTTTTGCAAATTATTACCGTAAGTTCATTAAGAATTTCTCATCAGTAATCGCTCCTATTACCAACCTATCCAAGAAAGGAGCAAATTGTAATTTATGGTCCAAAGAAGCAAAGGAGGCATTTGAAAGAGTTAAATCTTTATTTGCTTCAGCACCTGTCCTGACGCACCCTGATCCGACCAAACTTTTTATTTTAGAAGTAGATGCGTCAGAGACAGGAATAGGAGCCATTCTGTCTCAAAGAGTGAGTCCTGATGCGCCGTTACATCCCTGTGGCTTTTTCTCTCGAAAATTAACTCCAGCAGAGAGAAATTATGACATCGGGAATAGGGAATTACTGGCCATTGTTCTCGCCCTTAAGGAATGGAGGCATCTCTTGAAAGGTTCCAAAGAGCCGCTTTTGATTTTTACCGATCATAAGAATTTGGCTTATATTGTGGATGCTAAGAGATTGTCCTCCTGACAGGCTAGATGGTCATTATTCCTCTCCCGGTTTAATTTTATAATTGCATACAGGCCCGGGACAAAGAATACCAAGGCAGATGCACTCTCTAGACAGTTTGAGACAGATGAAGCCCCTGAACAAGAGGTATCCCCGATCGTACCTCCAGAATGTCTTATCACTACTACAGTTACTGAAATATCTTCTCCACTCTTTGGTGCCATAATAGCAGTTCAAACTCAGGCACCCGTAACTGTATGTTTCACCCTTTTTAAGGAAGAAAGTATTTGGAGTGTTTCATGATAATCTGACAGCAGGACATCCTGGAATACATAAAACTCTCTCTGCTATTTCCAGAATATTTTGGTGGCTTACACTCAGAGGTGACATTAAAGACTATGTAGGGGCATGTCAAATATGTGCGGTTTCTAAAACATCTCATCGATCTCCCCCTGGGTTGCTACAGCCACTTCCAATACCCGATGCTCCATGGACCCATTTAGCCATGGATCTCATTGTGGAACTTCCCAGTTCTAATGGGCATAACACCATCCTCATGGTTGAAGATAGATTTTCAAAGATGGCACATTTTATATCTCTTAAAAAAATTGCCATCTGCTCAAGATCTAGTCCAAATTTTCATAAAGGAAATCTTTCGCTTACACGGAGTACCAAAAAACATTGTTTCTGACAGAGGAACCCAATTTATCTCTAGGTTCTGGTGTGCCTTCTGCAAACAGTTGGGCATAGAACTTTCATTTTCCTCTTCGTACCACCCTCAGACTAATGGCGCCGCAGAAAGATCCAATCAATCTTTAGAATCATATTTGCGTTGCTTTATCGATGCCAATCAGTCCAATTGGTTCGAACTCTTACCCATGGCTGAATTTGCCAGAAATAATGCGACTCACGAATCCTCGAGTCAGAGTCCATTTTTTGTAAATCATGGTTATCACCCCACTATTTTACCTTCTGCATTTTCAGGGACTGATATTCCTGCATTAAACACCCATTTGATTTCTATCCAAGACACTTGGGATTCTGTTCATTCAGCATTACAGAATGCCTCTAAACATACTAAAGTTCAAGCTGATAAGAAACGGGGTGCCAATCCTGTTTATCAAGTCGGGGACAGGGTTTGGTTGTCCACACGACATATCAAACTCAAGGTTCCTTCCATGAAACTAGCTCCTCGATTCATAGGTCCCTTTCGTGTCCTCCGTCATATAAACCCTGTGACTTATTCATTGGCACTCACTTCTCATATGAGAATTGCTAATTCCTTCCATGTATCATTGCTTAGGCCCCTCACTTGCAAGCGATACACAAAAATGATTGTTCCTCCTCCGCCCTTGGTAGTAGGTAATCAAGAGGAGTACGAAGTCCAAACTATTTTAGACTCCAAGTTCTCTAGAGGTGTTCTGTCTTATCTAGTTTACTGGAAGGGATATGGCCCGGGGGAACGTAGTTGGGTTCTTGTGGACCAGGTTCATGCTCCCCGTCTTGTCCGGTCATTTCACAACCGTTTTCCTCGCAAGCCCACTTCCCATGCTCCTTCCCACATGGTGAGCGGTCTTTGAGTGGGGCGTACTGTCACGGCCCCCGGCTAGCCGCCATGTGCATCCGTGCCCGTCTGGCATGACTGCACCAAGTCACTGAGCTTACCTGCTCAGCGGCAAGCCGGGAACCGTTCCTCCACGCCGCTCGGGGAAATCCAAGATGGCGACGACCATGAGATCGCGTCCATCCATGGCTCCACCCCCCAAAATTATACGAACGTACGCGTGACGTCACAACGTCAACGCACGCACACGTTCTGGGGTCAGAGGTCACCTGTTCCTGGTTCCCTAGAGTGCATTTATCTTTGTGAATATTACTTCCTGGTATCCTGATCTTGGCTTTTCCCTGGTTATTCCGAATTCTGGTTCCCCTGACTTGGCTTGTTTAAACGGTATCTGAGTATTTCTGGCTTCCTTGACCTCGGCTTTCCCTTTGACCATTCTCTATCTCTAGCGTATTAGTCCGGCCATTCTAAGGTCCGGTTTACGCTCTGTCCTTTTATTTCCTTTCCTTTTGTATGTATATGTTTACATAGTTTCTGCGTGTTGGACCACACTAGCAGCCGTGACAGTGCATTGCCGTACTGCGCCAATCAGCAACTGCTCATGGAAATCCATTAAAATAATGGTGGATCTCTTTGAGTAGCAATCAACTCCTCCATGCAGAGTGTGGAGACGCTGAATGTAGATGCCGCACACAGTGCAGCGCTGGACTAGGAAGCACCTCTAGTGACCGTCTGAGTGACTGCCACTAGAGGTATTACTAGGCAGCAATGCTGCACTGTGCCAATCAAAAGGTCTTTATGAGACTGAGTGACTGCCACTAGAGGTATTACTAGGCAGCAATGCTGCGCTGTGCCAATCAAATGGTCTTTATGAAACCATTCTGATTGAAATAGCAGGTTTTACGGAAGAATCACCTATAGTGGCTGTGGGTGTAACAGCCACTAGAGGCATTTTATCACTGTAATGTAAATATAATATTGCTGTTTCTGCAAAATGTTGTCAGTATGACAGGGATTGAGATGAGGTGGTCTGGGGGCCTTTAGTGTCCCTTTAACATAACTCTTTCCTCTATATCTTACCTTTTCCCAAATAGTAACTAACTGTTACAATGTTTTCTTTCCATCCCACACAAAAGGCAAAATGGGATCAAACATGAATTAGATAACAGTCAGGGAGCCAATTGTCACCTTGTCTTTTGTTTTGTTTTTTGCATAATTTATGGGTGTAGTTTAACTAGTCCCTAATTTTCATTACCAATTGTTTAAAGTCAGCTGCAAATCTAGTCAAATGGTAAGGACTAGCTAGTACATAAAATATCTGAGGTTGTTTTTTTTCTAGAATGCTCAGAAAGCCTAGAGGAGAGCTGATTATAATGGGGATGTGGTCACCAATATGTAGTTTATACGAAACCTAAGGGCCTGTTGCCCATGAGCAATGGAAAAACCTAGCTCTGTGGATGTCTGCTAACCATAAATTTTATCACATGACAGGAGGCTTCGTATTTTGCATAATCTTTCTTTACTATCTCCATAGCAGCAAAGAAATGAGTGACAAAACTTTTAACCAATCACAACGTAGAATAGGGTATAAGAGGTGAGACCTATGACATCATTTCCTCTTTCTTTGCTGCTCCATCACAAGTTAAGTACCAAATTTTGTATTATCTATTCTACATACACTTTTCATTTACATGCCCTTTGTTTTCACTGTACCTTTATATATTTGCCCTATTAATGCTCTTAACCCCTGTATACCAGGGGACCCTGTCTGGCTCCCTAACTGTCTTTCACGGCTTTCCCGCCGTCTGTACTTTCCCTCCATATTCTCTGTTTCTCTTTAACAGTTTTTCTGTTCTTTCTACCGAACGCTTTATTCGGTAGTTTTGCGCATTCGCCTGTTTTACTCGAGTGCCCGCGTGACCGCACATTGACTATTCATTTCTTTCTACCGAACGCTTCGTTCGGCAGTTTGACGCGATCGCCTTTTTTAAGCGTTCGCATCTATTTCTATTCGCACGTTCGGCAGTTCGCATAGATCTTCTATTCACGTTCGGCAGTTTTATGCGAATGGCAAGCTTACAGTTTGCCGCCCAAACTGGGGGAGGTACTATTATCCACACACTAAGCCTGTCAGTCCGGCGGCCATCTTAAAGAGATAGACACTGCCTGATTTTTCTGCTCCTGCTAATCCAACAAGCAATTGAAAAGCCTTACCCTTTTCACTCAGTGGGACCAGGTTAGTGCCTTACACTTGGGGTTGGTTTAGCCAGTTGGTCTGCACCTTATTCTGGCCGGGGTGAGCCCCCATTTTATGCTGCTAAACGGTCCTATTCATGCAGATTCCGATCACCTGGGTGAGCCCCAGTGAATCAGCCCTCTCCTCTACGACCTACCGGTCTCTAACCACAGGTTATTTAGTCCTGATACCATACCACCCCGGTCCCCAGGCCTCTCCATTAATCGTGCCTAGTGCCCTCACGCAATTTACCGGGTGAGCCCCGAATCCTCATTCCTTATAATGGAGGAATCACAAACCCCAGACCTCCAGGCCATGATAACAGCAGCCGTGGCTGCAGCTATGGAACAAGCCGCTTCCAAGTCACTCCAAACAAACTCTGAAGTTCCCAGGCCCACCTCTAAACGGGTTCATTATTAGGCGGACTCCGAAGACTCCGACTCTTCCAGGGAACACTCCCAACGGCGAAAACGCCATTGGAAGGGCAATGTAACCCCACGCAAGGCTAAAGGGAAAGCCCCTGCTGATCGCAGGAAAGCCACGGTTCGTGCTACCCACGATGCCACACAACTTTCCTCAGGTGAGGAAGATGTAGAACCCACTCAGGCACTAGCTGTGCTGGATGAATGGCAGGCGGCAGCCTCTGACCAGGGGGACTCTGACAGGGATTCCACGGCCAACTCTGACCCTTACTTCATCCATGGATAACCCACAGGAGGGCTCGGAGATTTTCCTCGACAATTCGGGCCTCCAAATGTTCGACCCAAGAAACATCCGGCACCCCCGTTCGGAAGAATGGTCACCACCTGAGCATTTGGCAAGGTTTATGCATTTCTGGCTCAGAAAACCGCTAGACAAGGAAGTAAGAAACCGGATGAGATCCGAATGCCCTCGCCCTAGTCTACCGGACAAAGTGACGCACACCCCCGAGTTTGACCCACTCATGACTACGTTCATGTCCCGAGGGGGTCGGGATCCGCGCAAGGACATAGAGCGCGGCTTTAAAGGAGCGCAAGATAAGCTGCTAGATGCCATTGGGCCACTAGCCAGAATCATGGATATGGCGGATGAAGCCTATGAGAGGGCTGACACTTTCACCCCAGATACGGTGCGTGAATGGGCACGAGATACCCGTGAATGGGCACAAAGGTGTTTCTGTTTCCTAGGGAACACCAACGTAGCCCTCTCTTCGGAGAGGCGCCGAGCAGCACTTTACCGTATCGACGAAAAACTGGTCGAACTGGGGGATAAGGAATTAGGACCCTTAGCACAGGGTAAATTATTTGGAGAGGCCTTCCTTAAGGAATTAAATAAAAGGGTCAACATATTCACGTCCCTTAACAAGGCACAATCTTCAATGCGGAAAGTCTTCCGCGGTTCTCACACCCGTGGTGTTTTTGGAAGGGCTGGACGGCAGAGGGGCCGTGCCGCCAGCCGTTTTTGGCCATCCGGCCCCCGTACAACAAGGACTCAGATGTTCTACCCAGACTCATCTAGTCGAAATAGATTCCACCAATTCAGGGGATCTGATCGTGGCCGAGGCACCCGAGGACGCTCACGAGCAAGATTCTCCAACGGTAAGTCGGAATCTTACTCTTCCTCTAACCCCCTGTCATATCGCAGGTCGTGTTTCTCTTTTTTTCCAGAACTGGAAAGAACTATCTTCAGATGCATGGATAATCCAAACGGTGCAGGGCTATCGAATAGAATTCGACTCGACCCCGCTCCAGCTGACCCCTCCACGCCCAATCCAGACTACACGGGCAGATGCCCGCCTCATAGACGCGGAACTCCGAGAACTCCGCTCCAAGGGTGCCATCCAACCGGCTCCGGATGCCACCGGTTTCTACAGCAACATCTTCCTGGTCAGGAAGAAAACAGGCGAATATCGCCCCGTTATCAATCTCAGGGAGCTCAATTCGCACGTGGTATATCGACATTTCAAAATGGAAGGTATACATCTCCTCCGGGACTTGCTTCGACGCGACGACTGGTTCACTCGTCTGGACCTCAAAGATGCATACCTTACCATTCCGGTACACAGAAGCAGCCGTCCCTACCTCCGCTTCTTCTGGCACGGGATCCCTTGGCAGTTCACCTGTCTCCCGTTTGGCCTCAGCTCGGCCCCGTGGTGTTTTACCAAGATTATGAAGCCGGTAGTGGCAAAAATCAGATCCCAAGGCATAAGATGCATCATCTACCTCGACGATATCCTGATCTTCGACGAGGATGCAGACACTCTGCGGAGACATACGGAATACGCACTACACCTTTTGGACTCTCTGGGTTTCGTCGTCAACCGTCCCAAGTCCGCATTGACCCCGGCTCAATCAGTTCAATTCCTCGGATTCGTAATAGACTCCACATCATGCACTCTTCACCTCCCGGCTACCAAAATTACGGCAATCCGCAGGGAGATCCGGAAAGTCCTTCGTCGGACTACCATACCCCTACGATTACTGGCACGGATCGTAGGCCTTCTCTCCGCGTCCATCCAGGCCATTTTTCCCGGGCCCCTGCACTACAGGGCCATGCAACGCCTCAAGGCAAGTTTCCTTCGCAGACAACCGACATACGACCAACCGGTTCCAATGTCGGTCGAAGTTCGGGAAGAACTACACTGGTGGCTGAATTGCATGCAGGCTTGGAATGGCAGAGCCATATTCGGGAACCAGCCAGACTTCGTGCTGGAATCGGATGCCAGCCGTTCAGGCTGGGGGGCAACAGACGGAACCACGTCCACAGGAGGAGTCTGGACTTCCGAAGAGCTCTCGATGCACATAAATTGCCTGGAACTCTTGGCCGGGTCCTTCGCCATTCGCAGCCTGGCAAAGGACCGATCCAACTGCTGCATCCTACTCCGCATGGACAACGTCTCAGCGGTCAGATACATCAACCGCCTTGGAGGCACTCGTTCTCGAACACTGGCGGATCTCACGAAAGAGATCTTCGACTACTGCCTACCACGCAACATCACCTTGCTGGCAGAGCACTTACCAGGAGACTCCAATACGACGGCGGATTGGTACTCACGCCACTGGCGGGATGCCAGTGATTGGCAGCTAGACCCTCATATTTTCGCGCTACTGGATGCACAGAGGGGACCTCTCTACTTAGACCTTTTCGCGTCCCGCAACAATCGACAGACAGAGGTTTTCTTCAGCTGGCTCCCAGACCCGGAGAGCCTCGCAACGGACGCTTTTCTCCAACAATGGCCAAGGGACGGCGCCTACGCATTCCCTCCTTTCGCAATGATAACGAGGGTCCTTCACCGGATCCGTCTACAGGGAGTGAGAATAATTCTCATCACGCCGCTCTGGCAGAGCCAGCCATGGTTTCCGGACCTTCTGGAACTCTCAATCAACGACCCCCTCCTCCTACCAGATGCACCAACCATCCTCAGGAATCCATTGGGCCTTCCTCACCCACTAGTCCTGCAGGAACGCTTGCCCCTTGTGGCCTGGACTCTTTCCGGGGTTCCTGGAGAACCGAAGAATTATCGCAGGGAACTAAGGACCTGCTATGGGATTCATGGGCACCAGGAACTAGGAGGTGCTACTTATCAGCATGGCACTCCTGGACAAGTTGGTGTGTGGGACGGGACCTCAATCCCTTTACTGCACCTACTCACTCCATCATGAATTTCCTGACTTCACTTTTCACCGCCGGAAAGTCATACCGTTCCATCAACATGGTACGGTCAGCCATCTCAGCGGCTCATACTCCGATACAGGGGATTCCTGTTGGTAAGGACCCGCTCATCTGCAGACTTCTCCGCGGCATGCGCCTACGGCGCCCCCCGGAACCTAAATATTCTAGTCTCTGGGACGTTGGTGTGGTCCTTCAATTTTTACGTAATTGGCCTCCCAACGAGAAACTATCACTCCGCCAGCTTACCGCAAAATTCACCCTCCTGCTCTGTCTGGTTTCCTTTCGACGGGTAGCGGACGTACGCGCCTTTGACGCCAACGCATTTACTTTCTGTCCGGCGGGTGTCACCTTTCAGATCTCACGTCGCACTAAGTCCAACTCTCTCTCGGTCTTCTACCCTTTCTTCCCTTCTGACCCTCAACTCTGCGTGGTCTCAACCCTCCGTCACTACGTGGAAGCCACCGCGACGTTGCGGCAGCCTTCCACTCATCAACTTCTCATCTCTTACGTCCGCCCTTATGGTCCGGTTTCGGTTACTACACTGGCCAGATGGGTTAGGTGGCTACTATCCCTTGCCGGTATTGACCAAACTTTTGGAGCACACTCCGTTCGTGGGGCAGCGGCCTCTTCCGCTTATGCGGCAGGCGCGTCCCTCTCGGACATTTTACGAGCAGCGGACTGGACCAGAGAATCTACCTTTAGGACATTCTACTTTCGTCCTCTTGATAATCCGGCATTTGCTTTTCTTTCTCAGCGTTGAAATTGCAAAATACGAAGCCTCCTGTCATGTGATAAAATTGAAGATTATGCTAGCTTTAGTGTACAGATAATCTTAATTTTAATAATGACAGGAGGCGAGTATTTTCCCTCCCTGTTCTCTTTCGTTCTTCCCTCCCTTTTATTTTCACTTCTACCTACTACACTTTGCTCTCTCATATGTTGGTATAATACCTGACACGGTAGCTCTTTTTTAACTGCCTTATTTACATCATAGAGATATATATATATTGTCTGGGTGGGATACTTATTTAACACCTCTAGGGAGGACGTTTAGTTTATTTTTATTCTCATGTTACTAGACGATATTAAAGTTGAATTACGGGACAGACATCCTTTGTTTTATACAATCACTTCTGGACTCTAACGCACCTTATACTCTCGTTTCAGCTTAACCAGAAGCTACACAGAATCATTAAAGTCTCCATGCAAGATGTCGTCATCATCGCATCAGGAGATTCATCATCAGGTCTTCGTAGACCATCGTTTGACAAGGACACGTCTTCATCTGCATTCTACCTGTTCCAGTTCAGTTTATTCTGATTAAGTTTCCAGTTTCTTGCTCTATGGATTTCTCAGCTGTTCGGTTATTTTTCTACATTTATGAACTTGTGATGTCGCAATTTTAAAGAGGAAATTATGTCATAGGTCTCACCTCTTATACCCTATTCTACGTTGTGATTGGTTAAAAGTTTTGTCACTCATTTCTTTGCTGCTATGGAGATAGTAAAGAAAGATTATGCAAAATACTCGCCTCCTGTCATTATTAAAATTAAGATTATCTGTACACTAAAGCTAGCATAATCTTCAATTTTCAGGCAACTTAAAGGTGAATGATACTTACAATATGCATATGTGATTCCCTATGTTATCTTTATATGTATATAATGACAAGTCGCTGAATGCTACAGGGTGAATAGGTGGGAGTCTACAAAGATTCACTGCATCTCTATAGGAGATGCGGATTGCTGCATATCTAAAATAAAAATAAATAAATACATTGAAAGAAATTTAAATAATAAAATAATAAAATAAAAATTTACAAAAATGAATTAACGGTTTAAAACTGTTTTAACTGTATATTGATATTAATATACATTTATATTTAGATCAAAATACATTTAGAATGACGTTATAAATACATATATGTATAGCTATATATAAATTTTAAAAAATAAAATTTTTTTAAAATATATATTTAAATTCTACAAATATATTTATATAATATTTTTTTACATAATTAAGTTTTATTAATTACAATTTGAGGGACCTGCCTGACAACCCAGGCAGAAAGTCCAGATAAATTGGTTTGCAATCTCTATATTTAACCCTGTTCCAGGACACCATAAACATTGGGGGTACTGTTTTACTCAGGAGACTTCGCTGGGCACAAATATTAGTGTTTTAAAATAGTAAAACATATCACAACAATGCAATTTTTTTTATTTATTTTTAAAGGGCACTTTGATTGACGATATAATTGTTGTGATACGGTTTACTGTTTTGAAACACTAATATTTGTGTTCCGCGGAGCCTTGCAAGTAAAACCGAACCCCCCATGTACAGGTTTTATGGTGCTTTCAAAAGTTACAGAGTCAAATATAAGGCTTGCATTTCCTTTTTTTTCACATTGAAATTTGCCAGATTGGTAATGTTGCCTTTGAGACTGTATGGTAGCCCAGGAATGAGAATTACCCCCATGATGGTGTACCATT